TATATATATATATATATATATATATATATATATATATATTTGTGAATTAAATAATTTACAAATTTGTTTTAAGCCAAGAGATAACAAAAAGTACGATTATTTATAATACATGAGTGGCATCGTTGCAAAAAAAATGTATTATTTAATATCAGAGTTGTAATCTGTAAACGTACAACCAGATAAGCCACATTTTAGATATATATTTAAAATAACCTCATAATAAGTCAATGTTGTGATATATTACAATATTGCAATTACGAATGCAACCAAAGAATGCTGAACATTATTATGTTGTTTGAAGTTTTGAAGTCTTTTTTTAAGTTTTTATTATTGTTATTTTTGGACCACGTCTGATCACAGTTGAGGAGTCATTCTTACCAAAGTTCAGATAATTGCCCAGTGTCCACAGACTTTTTCATTCATCGGTTTGTGTGGTTCTGGGTCTTTATTTCATCCTGTGGTGTGCCCACACACATCAGTAATGATTTTGCTGTGATTGGAGAACTTTGTTGGCTCTTTTTGTCTTTTATCTTGTATCTGGACCTGTTACTGGACCCCTGATGAGTCTTCACACACAAGCTACAAGCAAGACGAAGTTCATGGTCATGTTATATTGCTGTTTTTGTGTTGCAGATGTTTTCTGAAAGCATTCTCACTAATGGGCGAGACTCAGGAGAGAGAGCGGGTGTTAATTAATTTCTCTAATCGGTACTATCAGTGTAATCCCACCGTCATCACTGCACAAGGTACTGCATGTCTCAACCTTATGTAACCTCTCTCGTTTACTCATTACTTACAAGATAAGCATTTCAGATCAATTGAAGATGTAAGGGATCATTATTATCCAGTGGTGGATGAAGTACTTGAGTAAAAGTACAGATATCCTAATAAAACATTACTCCAGTAAAAATATAAGTACTCATTTCAAATTTACTTTATTTATTTTACTAGTAAAAGTACAAGTACTTGATTTTTTTAATGTAGTAAAGCATTTAAAGTAAAATGTACAGATTGATTCATTGTTTTTTTCTAGCCAGCAGTAGTCAGACTAGTCATTGATCAGCACTAATAAGAAAAATTAGTGCATTCGTTCAATAAGCATTGATCTGCAAATAAGACACTCTGTATATTTGTTTTATATCGCTCTCTCCTATGAGAGAAAGAAAGAGAGTGTGGCATAATTAGGGCTGGGCGATATAGCAAAAAAATTTATCAACGATATAATGTTTCATATCGTTCGGTATCGATAATTATTGACATTTTTTTATAACCTTTTTTAAAACAAAGAGCAATAGAAAAAAACGTTTAAATTTAACCACTGTATTTTTAAATTAACCCAATTTATTGAGACAAACAGCAAATTTTTTTTGTTTTAACAGTCAAAAACAAAGTAAAAATTAAATATCTCATTTCTAATGTTTTATATGCAGATTAAATAGGTTTTAAGGAAACTTTTGGCTTGTCTCCTGATGCCACAGGAGGGCGCAATGAGCAAAATAATGCAGCGCATTTAAATCGTCAATGCAAGGAAATAACGGTCTATAAAAAACATGCATTACATCTAAATTAACTCATAAAAATCTAATATAATTCTGTAAATTGCATAAACAATTATGAACAAAACCGCATCATGTATTTATGCATTGCTTAATACAAAGAGCTATAACACATTAAAATGCAACAACGTCACTTACATCATTATCACCGCATCTCGCGCGCCACTGATGACACTCCCTGATGCTGATTGTACTATTTTTGCATTCAAATGCAAATGTTTATTTTAAATTTGACTAATATTAATTTTTTTATTCACAATCTCCTCATCACAGGCAGGCACTGCACTCAATTCAGCATGTGTTCGTGTTTGTGTGTGCTGTCTACGTCACTCATAGCACCTGCCTATATCCTGCACTATATCAAATTTTTTTTCTATCGATATCGAAGGTGTACTGTCGATAAATATTGATACCGTTTTATCGCCCAGGCCTAGGCATAATGCAAAAAACATGAAACTAGCTCGGCTAATATTGTCTCAAACAAAAAGTTGCCTGAGGACTGTTTCTGTGTTTAATGCCTCGGCATATAGAAGTTGCTCCATATGAAATCTATAAATAAAACATTTGTGGTTTTGCACAACATTAATTACCTGTTGGATAAAGTCTCTCTTCACTAATACTCCATGAAACATGATTGGGCTTAATCGCTCATTCAGTATCACAGTGTCGTGTTTCTTCCATAGCAACCATCTTAGTAAGAGCTATGACCAGTATATGGGTAAAAAGCTAAACCATCTCCTTGTTGCTAAGACTGTTGCCATGGAAGTGATGTTAGACTTTCTCCTGATGCATAGATGAATGTGTGTGTGATATCAGAAGTTATGATAAAAATAATGTTCAGTCTCTTTGACCTGTCTATGAGCGTGTTCACAGTGTGACCGAATGTTTCATTGACGTTTGCAGATGGAGTTCATTGCCTTACCTGTGCGCTAATGCTGCTCAACTCTGACCTTCATGGCCCAGTAAGTGACCTCTGACCCTCTGCCAGAGTTGCCCGTGTTACCAGCGAAATGAAGACTGACAGTTTGTTCCGTCTTTGCCAAAAGCACATGAATGCAGTCACCGCTTGGCCTTATCAGAGCATGTTATCGGTGAATCTAATGATCCCTCTGAAGAAGGATATGTCTGGGTCATATTTCACCTCAAAATAAAAAGAAATAAGAAACTAAATGTGCTTAATTGATAATAACTGATAATTGTAAAAAGTATTTTTGGTGAGGTTGAAATGTTGCCCAGAGATTCACCAACTAGTGAGTAGGATTGGGTATCGTTTGAATTTTATCGATTCCTATTCTTATTGATTCCTATCGATTCTAGTAAGAAAAAAATCGGATTAAAAAAAAATTACTTCAAACATATTTATTCTGTTTTTTTTTTTTACAAAGTGTTCTGTTGCAGCTGAATCACATGAGCAGCCTACAGAACACTTAGGCACTTTTGCCTATGGGTTTAACAAACAAAATACCACAGCAAAAACAACTAGACTAGACTAATATAAATTTCAAATATTAAATTGTTAAACAGTCAGTAATGAAATGGGAACAAACAAACCAATTAGCAATAGCATGAATAAATACAACTGTACAAATTTCAGGTACAGAAATTTAAATAAAAATTGTAAAAATACTGTAGTTTTCTTTTCATAAATAAAATATAGATTATTCCTCATTGAAGTTACAGAAGATTATTTTGTTCTTTGATTAACATTAATGACAGGCAGCATGTTTATTAGGCTGCTGTCTCTTTAACACCGAACACACGTGGATCTAAAAATACTGTTATACTTCACAACCGTTTACGTTCACTTAAGACAAAAAATGGCTGTGTTTATGATGATATACCTAAACTATATGATATAAACATGATGGTGTCACGGTTCGGTATGGTTTCGGGACAGCAGGGGGAGAAAACGAAACATAAATTGCTTCTTTTTTTTTTTTAATTAAACAGCGGTTTACTGAATAATAGCTCTTTCTTTAAATAAATTCAGTTATAATTGAAATTTTCCTAAGAATAATAATTTACCTCAGCTTATGCTCTAAATTATAGGGAGCCCTTTTAAGTTACTGTAAGGTTACAATTAACAACAGAGCCCAAACTTAAATTTAATTACTATTTATATTTAAATATAATAATCAATACTCAACTTAAAAATGTATACAAACATGTAAATTGCACATAATGCAGTTTTTATGATAAAATTTCAATTTGTTGTTGAAATATAGGCTATCAATTTACACATTGGCTGTTTATTTCTTTTTAACACTTTAACATTTCAGTCATACTGTCATGTGTTAATGTCTCATCTTTTCGTGTCTTTATCAGCATTTTAATCCATCTTGTAGATGTCCTGGGAACTAAGGTTCGCTTAAAGTGAGAACTAAATGTCTTTTCCAACTTGAGAACTATATACAGTCACAAATAATTGTTTATTACACAGAATCTGTGCCAATATCATGGACCATATGTCAGCATCACTTGAGTGTAGTTTGGGCTCCTCCTCAATGCATCTTATAAATGTTGTCTATGTGTTTCATCCAGTCTGGTTTTCTTCATTAGTAACATACAATTTTATAGGTGTTGAATTTTATTGCATTGTTTCTTATCATGAAGACAGCAGGTTAAGTAAAAATAGGAATATGCAATATAGCGCATAAATTTAGCAAAAAATCAGGATTTAAGGAGTAAAGTGAGATTTGACTCCTGGTTAACTAATGGGTCGTGTTTAGTCACTATTTAGTGTGGAATTTTTCTACAACATTCACTCATGACAGTAAAATAGGGCATTCCATGTCAATCTACTGCAGTTTTTCCTCTCTTAGTCAGTAGAAAATGACCGAAAATGGTCATGCATGAAAAAAAAAAAATACCGTCATATACTGTGAAACCGGTATAATTTTGAAAAATACCATGATATAAATTTTTGGTCATACCGCCCAGCACTAAAATACCCTACGTTTTGATGTCCATTCATGTTTATTTCGTACTGTAGTAGTAAAGAGAAAGATAGATGGGTTGCTTGAACTGAGGTGCTAATCTAAAGCAATCATTCATGCTGCATTAGGGAGCGCCGAAACCGTATTTACTGTTTGAATTTCATTATGAAAAAAATTCGGCAAAATTTTAAAGCTGATAACTTTGTTCATTAAAAAGTAACATAGCACAAAGCCTTTGCGATTACTGGACAGCAAGTGCGCTACAAATGATATGAAGTTCACGCATTAACAGAACACAGCATATAGACTAAGATCTTGATAAAGCCATAGTATCGATTCTAAGTGAGAATTGTTAACGATATTGCCAATATCCACTGTTGTAGTTTGTTCAACTTGTGCACGAAATAGTCACCTGCACTTGTACTTCGCACGTCTCCGTCATTTCGATCTCTCTCATGCTGCACAATGGAGCCAGCTTTCAGCAGTTGTGCCGTCAACTCTGATGTGCGGCAGAGATGAGGACTGTTTGAAACACTTTTTTCCACTAAAACTTTGATGCGCATCGTCTCCGTTTATTATGTCAACATAAACAATGTGATCGCAAAACAATCAGGAAAAAAGACATTATGCACATTTTAAAATACTTACATGTAAATTTAGTCGCCACTGGCGACTTCGGCAAAAACTTGTCTCGCAAATCAATAATTTTGGTCACAAATGCGACCGTTTTAGTCGTAGTCTGGAGCCCTGCATGAGGCATGAGATGTTCATTCATGTTTATTTCGTGTTAAAACTAACAAAGTTAGTAGTAAAGAGTAAGGGATGATCACACTGCGGTTTGAACTGAAACGTTTATACGATCTGTCGCAACACATCAAAGAGCGCCAAAACCGCATTTATTGTCTGAATTTCCTGAAAAAAAAAAAAATGGACATATTGAAAGATGAGACTTTGTTTCTCAAAAGTAGCAATATATAAAACTGGAAGTTTCCAATAAGGTTGCACTCGTGCAGTGGTTAAAACAATGCTGTATTTTTTAAGTTCACATGCGTACCGAACCGAAATACCCTTACTGAAAATTTTCGGTATGAAAACGTGTACCGTTACACCCCTATGATATACTGACGTGCATAATGGTCGGTAAATGTGAAAGAGAAATCCGTTCCAGCTGCAGTGGAAATGCACGCAACGGTTCGAGAACAGACACAGGTTCGGTAACCTGCACCGAGACTGCTGCTTTCTGTGCTCGCAAGTTATTTCCCCTTCTGCACTTAAATTGTTTAAAATCACATTCAAATGTGAGCGCATGAATCATTGAGTGGAATCGAAATGCTCATGTCTTATCGAATACTCGGCTCTTGGAAACTTTGAAACGGTTCTCGATACCCAAACCTACTAGTGAGTCAAGGATGTTATAAACTGTTTTGTTCTTAGATGTTTTGTGTTTGGCTTTATTTTGGATATTATCTGTGATCAAATTTTCAGGGTTAAACCTGTGAAATCTGCATGAATGTGCTTAAATATAAATAGCTCAATTCAAGCAGAGGAGGAAAACAGAAAGAAATTATTCAGATATGTGCCATTAGTAACTACAGTGCAGTGAAGAAGAAGAAAGTTCTGCACCCCCCACCGTTTCCTCAGTGAAATGTGAGGTGCATTCTGGGTTCTCTAAGAATAGCTCCTCTCATTGGTCTCCATGGAGTTTGATCATGTGTCTTGAAACTTACAGGACGCCGTGTTTTGAGTGTGACACGCTCAGTAGAACGCATGTGCCATGGAGACGTAGAGATTTCATGCCCACGCCACAGCACTCCTCTAGACGCTTTCATTTCAAACGTTGTTTAGTTTCATGTCATGTGGGTGAATACAGCTGAAAGTTGACGCCCACACACAATACATGACTGCATTTGTGGAGGGAAGCGTTAATGCATATCACATAGGTTATATAGAGACAGAGCAGGTGCTGATGGCTAAATCTCATCAAAACCTGTAATGGCTTGACAAAATGTGAAAGATGAAAGAAGAAATGTATATTTTACATAAAGAAATCAAAAGTTACTTTGTGGAACCAATAAAGACTTCATTAATGCTATGTCTTTTAGCTTTGAGGTCAACTACTGCATTCCTGAAAGCTGACAAAATAAATGTATAACAAATAGATGCATTAAAATTAGCAGGAAAACGGTCCAGATTTTTGTCCACTTGCAGGCTCTTTTGCTTAACATGCTTAACAGCTGTGCCATAACTGAAGCCTGTTGTCTTTGGTGTGTCCCACCCAAGCATTCTGTTTCAACAGGACACACACTACCGTTCAAACGTTTGGGGTCAGTACAATTTTTTGATTAATTAAAAAGAACAAAACAAAACAATACTTTTATTCAGCAATGATGCATTGAATTGATCAAATGTGACAGTAAAGACTATATTGACTATATTGTTACAGAAAGTTTCTATTTCAGTAAATGATGTTCTTTTGAATTTTCCATTCATGAAAGAATCCTGAAAAAAATAGGTTTCCACAAAAACATGAAGCAGCACAACTGTTTTCAACATTGATAATAATAAAAAATGTTTCTTGAGCAGCAAAGCAGCATATTAGAATGATTTCTGAAGATTATGTGACACTGAAGACTGGAGTAATGATGCTGAAAATTCAGCTGCGCATCACAGGAATAAATTACATTTTAACATATAAAAACTAGAATAGTATTTCACAGTATTACTATTTTTACTGTATTTTTGATTAAATAAATTCAGTCTTAAGTAGAAGAGACTTCTTTCAGAAACAAAAAAACAGCACTTATCAAGCCATATCCTGTGGTCTTTCAGATTTGTTTTTATTGGGACATTTTTTGTGACAAGACAATTAACTGCATTTTCCAGCAATGCAAAAATTTCATTATATTTAGCTATTTGTAATAGCTAATGGAAGTCATCCTGTTTGAGAAAGTTTTTTTAAATTTTTTTTATTTAAAGTAGCTTTAATTGCATTCATTATAACATACTTGATTTATTCACAAAAAAATTTCTGCATTACAATAATGAGAATGAGATTTTGGGGGCAGTGGAATAAACAAACGTTTGCATTGTAAATATCTGTATAAAATCTGCTTACTGAGCAAGGCCCAAATGTGTTTTTTTTTTTGAGAATGATTTTGCAAAATAGCGTTTTATTCTCATTCAGTCTTTGCTGACTTTGTGATCTGTGCTGCGGACCCATGTCAAATCATACAGAAAGAGAAAAGGGCTTGATGTGCTGTTAAAGTGATGGATGACAGGAGGCTACAGCATCACTTCACAGATGAAACTGCAGCGTGAGATCTTGTGGAATCGTGTATTTCGAAGCAGCCTGTGTCTCTCTTTGATATCTCGTGCCAGTCTGAACATTTGTCAGTGCCATCCACCTACAAACTCGGCTGGTGCTGGCAGGAACAGTAAAGTCAGTGGAACAAACACCGTCTGCGCTTTATTTTAGAATGCAAGCGGCCGCTCCTTCAGTCTTTGTCTGTGACATTATACAAGCAGCAATCTGATGCTGTGAAGGAGGAATCGAGGTTCAGACAGAGTAATTGTAGAGGATGTATAACAGCAGCAGTCGCTGTACAGTATGTGGTAACTGTAGGCGCTTGTGAAATGCTTAAAGTTCCACTGGAAATCTTACGGCAGGTCACAGTCACAGTGTTGTTCGTATTGTGAGATGTAGCAATTGTATGATTCAGTGACATTTTCTCTGCTTGCTTATATATGATCTGTTATACCAGCACTATGAAAATGAAACATTTTCCTCCTCACGTATTTTGGTCATTTGCCTTCTCATAAAAACAAACACAGAACTACTGTGACCAAAACAAAGACAAATTATTGTTGGACCGGTATGCTGTAAGAAAATGCAAACTTGTAAATGTTTGAGTCATTCAGTGAATATTTGTATTTTAATATGAAATGTTTTGTAGTTAAACATGTGCACGCACTATATACAGTGCACAGCATAAATGAGCTCACCCTATCTGAAAACCTAACAAATTCAGCAGTTACTTTGAACTTAGAAGACATGTTAGGGTTTTTCATTCGAGACATAATGTTCCTGCAAGTCTGCTTGATCAGTTACCAAAGCAGCATGTCAAAATTATTCAGGAAAATAAGACTTACTTATCAAAATGATAAAATGTTGTGTTGCAAAAATGAGCACACCCTCCTCAGAGTTACTAAATAGAATTAAATAAAAACAGGTATGTTGCACCAAAGCATTGAAAGAGAAGTAAAAGTAAAATTAAAAGTGTTAAATAGCCCACTAAAGCATTCTCAGACTTCTTTCTTAGCACAAAGGAGGACATTTGGGATGTGGTTTGTGATCAGGTGCCAAGAAGGGTCAGAGCAGTAAATGATGGAGGACATACTAAATACTAGAATATGATACATTTGTTGAATTAAATCGAGGGTGTACTCATTCCTGCAATCCTTCATTTAAACAAAATTGGCTAATTTACTTATTTTACAGATATTAAGGACATATACCTTTCTGTTTTTATTAAGGAAATGTTTCAAATTTCAATTTTGCCATCTTTCCATGAATCGTATTAGTAATTGTTAATCAGAGGGGTTTATTCATTTATGCTGTGCACTGTGATAGCTCCGAGCTCAACTGTGAAATAGCCCAGAGCAAATGCTCAGGGGACTTGTCAATAGTTAGTGATTATATACTGCAGTTAAATAATCTCATGCTATTACATTATCAGTTTCGGATTGTAATAGATATTCTTAATCCTGTACATTTAGTTAAAGGTGTCACCTCCTCCAGCAGTACTTAATTTATTACATGCGCTTGACATTATACAATGTCATAATTTATCAGACTTTTTGCTTTGCATCAATCAGTATATAAAATAAAAAGGGAAAACAATCAAACAATATGAAGTATTTTTCATTTGCAAAGTTAATGTATTTGTTGGTTTATTTGTTTATTAAAAAATAGACATTATATGCAGACTACAGTTCCAAAGTGTGTTTTTTTTAAGTTTTAAAAGAAGTCTCGTATGCTCTTCAAGCCTGCATTTATTTGACCAAAAATAGAGTAAAAATTATATTGTGAAATATTAAAATTTAAAACAACTGTTTTCTATTTAAATATATTTGATATTTTAACCAACCAGTATTTAAATCTCTTAATTGCTTTTGAACGTGTCATGTGTCACTGCTTCTGATAAATGTGCTAGACAACCTTAAATACAATATAAATAGATCTAACAGGGACTAGTTATTGGAGACTCAATTGTATCATCTTTTTATATCGTCATATCACCCAGCAATAAAACTTGCTGTGTGGTAAAGCACCAAGACATTTCTGTAAAAGTGCTTTGAAAGAATGCATGGTTAGACTTTATTTTAAGCTGTCCTTGTTACAGTGTAATTATACATTTAAGTCCTGAGTAATATTAATTGACTACATATATTTACTATATGGTTAGGATTAGGGTTACTTGCATGCAATTATGCATAATTTATTGTTATTACAATAGTAAGTACATGTAATGTGTAACAAGGACACCTTAAAATAAAGTGTTACCGAATGCATATTTTAAAAAGCACTCTACACATTTTCAAATGTAATTTAAAACTGTTTACTTTGATAAATAGAAAGTTCAAAATGTATCCATTTATTTGAAAAGAAATAATTTCTAATACAAGTCTTTATTGTGTTTTTTAATTGATTTAATGGATCATTACTGAATAAAAGTATTAATTTCTTTAAAAAATGTTACGTTAGTGTTATTTACTGTGTTTTACTTGGAATTTCTAGAAACAATTACATTAAAAAAAAAAAAATTTCATAGTGATAAAATAAAGGTTTTGGCCTCCCGCCTTATGTTCCTTATGTTTAATGGCAGTTTGTAAATTTGATGAGAAAGCAGGACTGACTGATTTACAGCCATTGTAGGAGTGCATGCTGGGATGTCAGCATGAATTCATTAGAGATCGCGTCGGACTCGCAGGGTTAAATCAGTGTGATGCAATGCCATCCTGTCCCATTAACAGCCCAATAAATGTTTCTAATGCCCCACAGAATATCGGGAAGAAGATGACGTGCCAGGAATTCATCAATAACCTGGATGGACTCGATGGAGGACAAGATTTCCCCCGGGAACTGCTGAAGGTACGTCTCAAACAAATCAGCGTTCCTCTTTGAGATGACGCGTGAAGGGATACATGACGTTAAAAACCGGCTTGATGGATACCAAAAATATTCAGAAGAGAGTTCAGCTGCTCCAGGTCCTTTGAACCTGGTGATATCCTATAACACACAATGCTGTGTACTTTCCCTTGTTTTCATAAGATTATCTGATCTTTACTAATCAGTCCCCGTCAACCTGATGTTTGTGCACTTGATACAAGCTCAGGACAAAAGCGCTCTTGACTCGGATTCATTAGTAATAGATGCTGTTATTGGAGACAGACATGGATATTTGGAGACATCCTGAACGAATGCAAGATTCTCTTCAAACTGCTGCTCCACCATGACCATAGTTAAAAGAGAAGACTGAAATAAACATATACATATCGTGGCAATACTAAGAATGCAATGATGCGTGATATTAACTTGTGTTGCTAGTTGTGCTATGTTCACAAAAAGACAGGACAGAAGCATGAGAGAAATTGTGTTTCACAGCAAAGTTTTGTTACTGTCATTCACTTTTTATGTGGAGTTAATTGTTTATGCAAATATTCAGTTCTTGAGTTGTTTGTGTCGTAAGTGATAGGGCTGTTAAAATGACTGAAAAACTCGAAAAAATTCGAATTTTCCACTTAAATATGATCAAAATTCGAATTATATTCGAATTTAAAAGGCATAATTTCAGTTAGGGGGAAAAGAGCTTTTGGCTTCTCTCCTGAGGCCACAAGAGGGTGCATCGAGCAAAATATTATGCACGTTTCTTTAAAGCGTAATAAAATAACATGACTATCTTTGAAAAAAAGTGCATAATGTTTAAAATAATGTTTATAAACTATATATAATTAATAAAGTTGCTTAAATAATTAGAAAAAAAAAACAGCACCATGCATGTATGTATAGTTTAATACAAAGGACCGAAAACCAATCACAAAGAGTAGGCTACTTTCTTCATTTAAAAACATGAGATACAGTGGGATGGGGAAAACCGCCATAAAGTCTTGAGACATGTTTTTTAAAAGTTGAACTTACATTAATTTTACATGGCTTTCTAAACATGCCGCTCTCTGCGAGATGTGAGTGCAACGCTGATAGACGTCCCTCTAGAAAATGTGATAAATATGCGTTCTGTGTGAATGGCTTGGTTTCAGTTTCGCCGTAAACAACATCTTCGTCACACTGATGCTCTCGTTTTCCGCAATATATTGAATGAACAATGTAGCAGCGCCGCATCTAGTGGGTTCAGCTGGATAGGCTAACAAAAGCATTAAAATGCAATGACACTTACATTGTCGTCTGATGCAGACCTAAAATTCGAATGCAACGTTTTTGCATTCGAATGTGGATTTTTTTTATTTTTTTTTATTCGACGAATATTTGAAATTGGAATTTTTTTTGGACAGCCCTAGTAAGTGATGCTCGCAAAGATTTAAATGTATGCTTTTGCTGGTGCTAATCTGAAGTGTACAATGCATTCAAGATCTACTGTGTTTTTCAGTTCTTTCATTCCGTGGGAATCAAGCCCATGACCTTGCTGTTGCTGTCGCTTTGCTGTATTGTTTGAGTTACAGGAACACGAAAAGATGCAGTAGAACAACAAAAATGAATGCAAAACTGTCGATAACCATATTAAATACAGTATTTAGAAGCTTCTTCAGCCAAAAAAGATGTAATGCTCATACTTAAATTGTAATCCATACTGTATATATGTAACTTTTTTCAAGAGGGATTATAAATTGACTTAGAATTTATAAAAAAATACGTTGGATTTATTTAGAACACAGATTATCAGTTCATCATTTGTGAGTTCATGACATGATCATGGCAAGGAAACTTGGATTGATTGTGATTTAAATGGTCATATCCACTTTTCGTGATATGGTTTGATTCACTATCAGCAGAGCTGCATAGATTACTTGCAATTTGTAGTCCATTACTGATTACATGATGAAAACTGTATTTAGTAATGTAATCTAAGTTACTTATTGTAGGTAATGTAATCTGAATACTTTTAGATTACTTTATCTAACTTGTTTAAATTTACCATTAAATGCACCATATTGATAACAAAAAAGTGAAGAGAAATCAAATATATTCCTTTGTTTTTGTATCAACACCATAAAATGCATTAAACATTACATTACACCAGGATTTCCCATAGTGGGGTTAATGTAAGAACTGCAGTGGGTTTGTGAGTTGATAAAAAGCTATTAATTAATTTAATCATAAAAAAAAAGCTAATTTAAACACTTGAAAACTAAAAATATCAGAAAAAAAATACCAGAAAAAGTCAGCTTGACCATTAACAACATCAGAGAATTATAAACATGCAAATGTGTTGTTAAATTAATGAAATATTCATTTCCTAAATTTCAAATAAAAATTTTATTTTAAGGGGATTGTCTGACAAAAACATTTGGGAATCTCTGCATTATATGAACAAACATTAATAAACATGAAAACAGCAATGACTTTACATGCCCCAAATCTTCCAGGTTTGAAATATTTCTGTCCAGAGGTCACTGGATATGATGAAGACATTGTGTTTCACAGATGTACATCACCAGTGTTTAGTAACTTGCATAATTATTTGTTTCATACATGGTCTAATGCTTTAGAGGTGTTCCCCCCAAATTCAGAAGCATGGTTTGCAAATTTAAAGGGGTCATATGATGCTGCTAAAAAGAACATTATTTTGTGTATTTGGTGTAATGAAATGTGTTTATGCGGTTTAAGGTTCAAAAAACACATTATTTTCCACATACTGTACATTATTGTTTCTCCTCTATGCCCCACCTTTCTGAAACGCGTCGATTTTTACAAAGCTCATCGGTCTGAAAAAGCGAGGTGTGCTGTGATTGGCCAGCTATCCAGTGCGTTGTAATTGGCTGAATACCTCAAGCGTGTGACGGAAATGTTACGCCCCTTACCATACTGTGTTTCCATGTGTCCCGGCGCGACGAGACAAAGCCAATAAAACCCATTACAATGAGGCATTTGTTGCATCCAGTGGGGACATAATTACTGATTATAATGACTTATACTGTGTTTTTACTCTTTGCACATTATACCAAATACACAAAATAATGTTCTTTTTAGCAGCATCATATGACCCCTTTAATACATGATATTTGTGAATATATTCAAAGCTAATTGGTATGACACAGTATAGGACCTTTAGAAAGGAAAATTGAAAAAGAGAGAGAGAGAAAAAATTATTAAGCAGAATAAGCAAATTATGAATAAATTACTGCCATTGTGAATATGTAATCCTGTAGTCCATAAAAAAGTAACTGTAATCTGATTATGAGCAATTTAAAACGTAATATACTTTAATTATGAGTGCTTAATTCTCGGAATTTGATTACGTAATCCAGATTACATGCAACTGCCCAGCCCTGACCATCAGATCTGTGGCCCACCTGCTAGACAATCCTTGTCCCATGTTTCCTCTGATATGTCCGGTTCTGGCACCATCACTGCAGCCAAGACAGGCCAAAACAGCCCCATGTGAACTCGGCCAAAATCAGCGGACTTAAATAATTAAATACCCCCCCGCCACCACTATCTCTTCCGGATAGTGCACCTTTTATGTCACGCTTTAATAAAATGAATACACTTCACACACTGACAGGATGTGTATTGAATGCTTAATAAGTTGGCAGTAACTTCAGTAAGCACTTTATAAGGTGTTATATAAAGCTGCACCAAAAGCGAGTGCCCTTGCCGAGCGTCTATCGTGACTGTCCTCTGCCAACTCCATGAGCTGGCTACTTTATGAGCTTTTTATGGTCCGCTTGCAGGTATCACCACACTGAATGACTCACAAGCTGTCTGCTTTAATGAGAGAAGAGTGCTTCATTTTGGTGTCAAATACAGTTTTATGCAAAAGTTTGGGCACCCCTGATAATTATCATAATTTCAATTTATAATCTACTAGGCTTTCGAAGCTGCAACTTCATTTGGATATAATTTATACCTTATGGATACATTAACATTTAAATTCTGAAATAACATTTATTGAATCAACAGAAACAATGCAATGTGAATCACAACAAAAACAGACAGGTGCAAAAATTTGGGCAACCCAAATGAAATAATCACATCAGTATTTAGTAGAGCCACCTTTTGCTGAAATAACAGCCTGTGGACGACGCTTATAGCCACTGATAAGTCCCTGAATTCTGACTGCAGGTATTCTGACTATTCTTCCTTGCAAAATGTCTGCTGGTTTGATGGCTGCCGAGTGTGGACAGCCTGCTTCAAGTCAATCCATAGATGTTTGATGATATTCAAGTCTGGGGACTGCGATGGCCATTCTACAACATTGTATCTGTGCCTGTGCATGAATTCCTTGGTAGATTTGGAGCAATGCTTTAGGTTATTGTCCTGCTGA